AAGCGTTTGGTGGGGAACCCACCCAACAAATGTCGGTGGAATCCTGCAAAAACTGGATTTATTCCTGGCATCCTGTTATTGACGAGTTGCCTGCACCCTCTGTGACACCAGAGATGCATTTGAGCAACTCGTCCTACCCAATTCCTGTATTTGTGTGCCGATCCGAGAATGAGCTTGTCCTTCGACGGGCTAAATACTCCATCATCCTGCTGAGCAATTGACGTATCATCCACCCTTCCCTTCGATTCCCTTCCCTTCCTTTCAGGGACAGAAGAGAGGGAAGGGAGGAATGGAAGGTGGAAGGCAACCTTGTTAAGGGCCTCCCACTGGCCCATAGTTTTTGGGTCTGCCGTTTTTGAGGGTCTCCCCGACTTTTGGTGTGAAGGAAACCAAAAAGATAAACCCGTCGCACCATTTCGGAGGTACACACACAGACACACGTCTCCAAGCCGGGCTCCCAGCCATGCCATGCCGTAGACAGCCACTTCGGCGAACCAAGGCGCGGCGTTTGGCTCAACGTCGTTAACAGAAAGGCTGGAAGCCGAGTTCCTAGGGGCCTGTGGGCGGGGCCTTTTCTTCGAAACAAACCTGCATCTTGGTTTGCTCATGTAAACACATATACTTATATTGCGTATCCCTTGGTCCATGTCCATGTTGTATTCCTGTAACACGTATTTTTCCACAAATATGTGCTATGTGCTGTATGCGCTCTGAGGAGTCAGCACGCAGGTCGCCGCGACGAGACGACCCGCGACGGATTCCTCCTAAAAAGGCGAAGGCAAAAAAAAAAAAAGGCGCAGCCCACCCGACTTCGGCCAGCGGAAGATTCTGCGAACTGCACCGAACGTGCAGTGCCTATGCTGAGAGCCGAAGTGGCCCTCGGGTGCTGCTTCTGGCGGTGAAAATCCACATCCTGGCTCAACATGGGTATGGGTCAAAAATTAACCACAAACACCGCAGGTGTTGGTCCTTGATGCCATTTACCCACACCCACACCCATATGTACCCTAGTTCGCAAACCCAGCATGTCTCAACGAAACCAAACCGCACTTGCTTGCCATCAGGCTTCCATCCAGCGAGCAGGAAAGTTTTAGCTTCTCCCCTGGTCCATGAAGGCCTAATCCGCTGGTTCAAGGGGAACCAACGGCCCCATTCCCGGAAATCGGATCTGTGTCCAGACAGGGCGACCCGGAAAACTGCGGCTGCATGTGGCTCCTAGTTCTTGAGACCAGAAGCGAAGCCTCAAACACCTCAGACACCGGTCAGGGCCCATTCCCGCAGCGGCGCCTAAGCTTGCTCCGCAAAAACTTGGCCGCTTCCTTGCGGCTGCCCTCGCCGAATCGGTCGTAACCGTGGCCATTGGCGAGCCAAAGAGGCCAAGCAAGGCCAAGGCCAAGAAAGCTCAAACTGTTCTCCCAAAACATGGCCCGCCGTGTTCTGTGTACAAAAAAGGGCCAGACAATGTTTGTGTATAAAATATGGGCAAAGTGACTTTCCGCTTCAGAGCCAACTCGCAAGCAAGGCCACAGCCTATGCTTAATAGTGGCCCCAACGGCTCTGGCCGCAGCTCTGATTCAGTTTCTGGAAATTGGATGAAATTGGCAGGGGACGGTGGATTCTTGAAATACTGCAAGTAGAAAAACCACATCCAAACCCAACACCCTGGTTTGAGGGGTGGTCGATGCTCCCTCGTTCCCCAACTCGCAATATTTAGGACATCCGGCTTCCGCTCCGCAACAGACATGAGCATTTGGAAAATTTGCATGGCATTGTATGAATTTCTCAGCCTTCTAGTGCTGAACATTGTTAGACATACAGAGCATATCTCCATTACTCCATTACCCTCATGGCCAATTTTGCACCCAGTCTGAGTGTTTGTCGACGGGTCTCCGACATGCAGTCTGGCGACATGCCTCTGGATTCTGGGCCAAGCACCTGTTCAAACACACATGACAAAGGCTCCAGCTGTTCTCTTTATGTGCAGCATCAAGACTTGGGTCGGCCTACCTGCAACGTGTAAAGAATCCAAAGGGACGGCGACTTTTCGGCCAGCTTTGGTGGCTCATTTTGCAACCTTCAAAGGCGCAAGTTGGATTTTGGCAGCACCGGGCAGAAACAAGTGTCCGAGTGAATTTGTCTCCGGAGGAGTAAACATATGGGGTGTGTCCTTTTGGAATTGGCGATGGCTACCGGCTGGCATGCGGGGGCCTAGCGGGACTGGGAACAAGAAAAGCTATGCCCAGTAGTGATAGATTCCCTTTTAAAACTAGCTGGAAAAAACAACCTGATATTCTTATAACCAAATGCAAGAAGACTGGCTATGTGTCTGGTGGTTTTCTCCCGTTGGCTTCCCTTTGAAACCCCAGCCGCCCCCAGAAAGCGCAGGGGGGTTTTCTTGCGTCCGGTGACAGGATACCTGGAGCTGCAGCCGTTTTCATGTAACAGCCCCCCACAACAAAGCGCAACCCATCCACCTCCCCACCCCAAAAAAAAAGGCCCCCCCACCCCGCCCCCCTCCCCCCAAAAACCAACAGGAAAAACCGGCATCCAAGTAAAACCTGCACGGAACCTCAAGGAAGCGTAGCTCCGCCTCCTGGCCCGGCGGCAGGGACTGCAACAACGCCGCCGCCAGGTTCAGCTGAGACCTCACATGGCAGACCGAAGTCCTGCGGATGGCGACCTCCAGAAATCCTGTGGATGGAAAAGCGAAATCCATTTCGCACCACTTGGGAACCATGGTTGAAATCGTTGTCTGTTGGTATTTACAGGGGAATCATCAGACGCCAGGGTTTCTTAGGTGGTGCAGGATTTCGTCCATCCACAGTCGCACCTTAGTCACTTGGGGCCAGAAGTAGGCCATGCCACTGTGGATGGAGGAAATGTTGCACCTAAGAAACCCTGGTTTCTCCTAAGAAACCAACATAACGAAATACCAACGTAAAATACCCACCAATTCTGCGACATCCATTCCGAAATCCAAAGTTAGGTATACCGACGTTCATACTGCGAAATCCATGTCTGATTCGATTCCCCGACGTAAAAAAAAAAAAAAAAAAAAAAAAAAAAAAAAAAAAAAAAAAAAAAAAAAAAAACGCTATGGGTTCAACCATGGTTTCCAGGTGGTGCCAAACGGACTTCGTCCATCCATAGTATGGCAAGGGACCCCCAAATCCCTGATTCCCCAATCCCAATAGGGGATGTCGATCTTAGACCTGCAACTAACACCAATCCCAAAATGGGCGAGAATTTGCCATGAACCAATGACTTGACGTTTCTAGAGACGCCCCCCTTTGCAGCTGTTCTTGCTCGGCAAGTAGTCAAAAAAAAGGTAAATTACCAGTCATGCAAGGCAATGCTCAGCACGTTACGCCTTCACTCTCTATTGGGGGAATGCAAGAATCAGCCACTACTTGCGGTGTTTTCAGAGAAAAACCATCTTTTTACACAGCTCAAAACGCGTCTGTCTTGAGACCGGCCGGCACTCTCAACTCATATTTTGAGACGCTTTTCTGCCAGCACGTTTACATCTCTGACGAACGCAGCCTGGCGTGAACGCTGCGTGAGCTGTTCGCAACGCCCACACGGCGGTTTTTGACCCGCTGCCAAAACAAGCAATATTGCACCGAATGTCAAGGCTGAAGTCACCGTGTTTCTTGATATGTTCGCGATCAAAAGCACGCCCTTCCTACAAATATCTCCAGTGATAGATGCCCTTTGAAACCAAGAGGGGAAATAAAACAAACTCACAAGCGAGTGGAAGATACGCTCTTTTGGGGGGTGTCAAAGGCTTCACAGCTGAAAGCTTTAGGTCCCTGGTCGAACCAAGCCGTTCCGGCTGGGATGCTGCCTGAGCTCGTTTGTTGTTGTGCTTTTGCACCCCTGCAAAAAGCTCAATCTACTGCTTGGGAAAATCTAGAAAACGGCGTGGATACGATTCTTGTGGATTTCACCTGTTCCTTCCCCTATAGGTTCTTGTTAGTGCTCTTCTAGTAATCTGTCATTTCTTACAGGGTGGATCCACAAAAACCTCATCCAAACCGTTTGCTTGAGAAAAAGGTCATCGAGGTTCGGGGTCGGACAGCTCAGTTGAGTGTAGTGGCCACATACACTCTTTACCACTCAGACTGAAATAGTACGTTGGAACCCAACTTTGATCGGGAATTGTCCCCCTTTCTTGGCGGGGGAGTCAGACCACTTTAGGGGAACAAGGAACACGACCCCCTATTCATAAAACTGGTGTAATCGGAAATGCGGGCTCAACATGCGTAAGGACCTGAGCCTTTTTTCCCAAAACCTGTGGCACAAACTGGGCCTCCGGGCTTCAGTCCGATCTTGGTGGCCTGGCGACCCATGCCATCCGCTCTGGGCCCGGGAAATTCCAGCCCTAACCCATTGGGCTCGGGTTTTCCAATAAAAAGCCCACATTGGGTTGGGTTGAGTGTCATATGTAATAAGAACTAAAAAAAGAAGAGACAAACAATGCAATGCACAATTATTACTTTTTGTGTATGCATTTCCAATAGCACCGCCAAAGACTTGAACATCATATAACAGGTTTGGTAGCAACTCGTGCCATCCGGAACCGCGGGATACATCATGAAGTTGAGGAGTCCAACGTGTTGAGTTCCCGGTTAACATGCCAAGGGGGGGTGGATTAATGGATGCAACTGGACATCCCCAGAGGGACACAAACAAACCAACAAACAAACAAACAAACAAGCAAACAAACAAAGAAACAAAGAAACAGCTACGCATCATTTTACATGAGCCCCGGAACAAATGGTTCGTCTCTCCAAGCGACAAATGGGAACATTGAGTGGTTGCAGCCAGCCTTTCTTTATTGGCGGCCAAAAAATGAAAAATTGCGCGAGCACTTTAAATTTAGCAGTTTCCCCACACCAAAAAAGGGTACCACCAAAAAAATACCCGCCATGGTAATGTTGTCGGTTCAATCTTTTATGCAGAACAGCACCTACTGCTTGGCGGACATACATGCACTCCTAAAGATGTCCGCCCAAGTCCTCACATCCCCTTTGCCAGTCAATCATTCCAGCCTTGCACAAGGTCTGCAGAAACTCCTGGCAGCTGGGAGAAGTCGACTTCTGAAGGGCGTTCCTTTGGGTTTCCCTTCAAATTCGTACCTTGCTCATCGTTTTGGCTTCCGTCTGGAACTTCCGGGGTCCCCAACCTCACACATCACCTGCCTAGCAGGGTCAACTCACCAACTTGGATGCACCCCTGAGGCGCAAATTTGGCTCGACAGGAAAGGTGAGTGAAACAGAACGCCAAAAAAGCAACAGACATCAAGCATTCAGCGCAAAACACATCCATCGAACTGACAACAAGAAAGTCTCTAACAAGCCAAGAATCTGTCAACTGCATGATGGGCATTGTTGCCATTCATCAAATCCACCAGGGTCCACTACTTCCAGCGCCCCTTCTTACCGTAAGCTTAGGGAATACTGGCTGAGACACGCCTGAGCCAAAGCAAAGGCAATGTCATACTACATACATATATAGATATATATACACACACACACACACACTCGTGTGCGTGTTTGTGCCTGTGTGTCCCCTTTACTAGCCTCCTTGATTGCCTCAAACAGTCGCCGGACAAATAAGATGTCTCTAGGCCCAAACGTGAAAGCCCATCCCAAAGGAGGCTTGCAAGCTCGACTCGTGTCCACAGCCTCCCCCTCCCTCACCAGGAGGCACCTCCGTGATGGATTCCTTGTAATCTGCGATGGCCTGGCAAAGCCTCGGCGATCGAGGTTCGTGGCACGGATTTTGATTGGGGACCATGTCGGTGCGCCTCATTTAGCTGAGGATGTACGTTCACCAAACGGGTTTCCCTCAACACAAACACAGCCACATGGGCCGCCCCAAAATTCTCCCCTGCAAAAAGGACTGGCCTGAAGCTGACATTCATACTGGTGCAAGGCGCAAGGCAATGGTTGATTCCGGCACGGCTTGCTGATTGGGCTCAAGGAAGACAGCCAAGGAAGACCTCTCACTGGAGCTAGCCGACGTGGGCCAATGCGGCGCTTGTGCCATTTGCACCATTTGCATGCACATGTCTTGGTCAAAATCGATTCTGGAAACTGAGCCAATGTCCTCAAGGAAAATTCGCGGGATTCCTCTTGTTCGCCATGGACGCCCTCCAAAGTAACAGAGAAAACTCGTAGCCGGGCTAATCTGTCAATGCCTCGTCATCTTTGCGCGCACCTTTGTGCACATCCCAGCCGAAAAAGGTTGGTTCAAAAACGAGCTGAACTCGGAACTCACTTGAGTGGAGAGTAACACACCACCCAAACTCTCTGCAAGTACCACTAAAACGAGTCCTCTCAAGGAGCTTGGTTGCTGTTGACCCCCCTGCAAAAAGTTTAACTTTTGGGGGTTTAGTGGAAAACCCCTGGATTTCCCAAAAAGTTAAAGTCTAAAGCCAATAGCAGTCAAGCAGTGAGTTCCTCTTCGCAACGACATCAAAGGCTGCCAAGCGGCACCTGCCCGAACTGCTCCTGGGAGTTGGCACAACCCTAAAACTCCTCCTGAAAACTAAACTCTACATGGTGGTTTCCGGGGGGGGGGGGGGGGTTCCCCCCCAAAAGTCATTGGGACCCATCCGAATGCAACCACTCTGACAAACCCAGCCAAGGTGACATCTCTTTTTTTTGTGGTGCGAAGGGTGCGTTGGGCGGAATCACTGGACTCGAAACCGGGCAAATTACACTGGGGTTTCTCATTTCAGACCTGAGAATCATGCGTGCCGCAGAAATTGGTGTTTCTGCAAAAAAACAACGTTTGGAAGACTGCAGTACTTTCCTGGGTGTGTTCAGGAGCATATCCGCTTCCTACGACGAAGGTCACGAAGGTCTTGGCCCTTGTTGGGCGGTGATTCAAAAAAAAAAACACCCTCCATCCCAACGGTGGACTTCATGGTGGTGCGCTCTTTCCCAGAATCATCCGGAGACTCATCCCAACTCGTTTTAATTGATCCATCCATCAGCGCGTCTGTTTTGGGCCTCCCTTTCAAGGTTCTTTTGAAGGGAAACAAGATAGCCAAGGAAGGCTTGATTTGCCGCTTCCGCAACTAACGGAAGGTGGCTTCTTCCTTTTGGCATCCCTTTAAAGCAAGCATTTGAAAACCACTGAAGCCTTGAGAGGCGAAAACTATACCTTTCTTTTAGGGGTACCCGTTTTGGGGTTGGTTCAAAGAGAAACCAAAAGGACACTAACCATTTTGGGAGGGGGGGGGTCCGATTCCTATTTTGAGGCTAACCCAGTTGAGCATCCAATAAGAACAAAATCTCGCTTCCTGAGCGGATGGGCCAAAAAAGAAGTCGCCGGACGAACTTCTTGTTTACCACTAACATGTCCAACCAAACCCAAAAAAGGTGACGAAACTCCAAAACGGAACTGAGGAGGTGAGATCCTGAGATCCCGTGGGCCGCGCTCCTCGTTCTCCATGTCCTTGAGCTCACTGGAGAGCACCAGCAGCTGGGTGGAGCCTTTGCCACCTCTCAGATGCCCAGCCAGGGGCAAAAAAGGGCATCCCATTTGCTGGTTGGTTGAGTTTTTCAGGGAAGCCCATTTGCTGCAGCGCTGGAAAAATGAGAACATGTGTCCGGTAGTGATAGCCCCCAACAGGGGCTGGGGGAAGCCCTCTGTTATGCCCATACTGTGGATGGTTGACCGAAACCGTTCATGTGATACAAAGAAAAAACAGGCGAAGAGATGGCACTCATCCCGGTCCAACCTCTCCTCCTGAACCTAAAACCTTATTTTCCACAAGCTACGTCAGGATAACGTGTCTCAGCCTTATGCGTGGAAATGGGTTGTGGCCAGCCTGCAGAAGGTCACAATCACGGCTACAAGTGGGGCAACAAGGGTACTCTGACTCACAGCGTGACTAGATCCTTCCTTCAGTAGGTTGAACATCCAACAGGGTGGGGTTGTTTGATGCAAACATGTCCAAACCCCCAGACCCCGAAGCCGACATGTGACATATGGCACGGTCTTGGAGCTTATTGAACCTTCTACAGCTTGTTCGCTCCTTTAAGGGTTTACTTTTAAGTTGCTCCTTATTTAGGGTTTACTTTGTAAGTTTCACTTTACTTGGGGTTTACTTTAAAGCTGTGTGGTGAAACCTTTGATTGGACGCGCCGTGTGTCTCCACTCAAGCATGGCTGGGGTACCTTGGATCCGGACCCTGAAGTTAGGACCCTTTTTGGTGGGAACCAAAAAACAGATTCCGGTGCGTAGAACGGTGAGGAACAAACAAAAAGAAGGCTGAGTTCAAGACGTAAGCGGATCAAACGCAAACCACCGCAAATGTCCAGGGGTGACCTTTAGAAAAATGGATGGCCCTGGTAAATGGAATAAAACCCATCCAAACCAGTGCCATGTAGACCTAAACCACAATAAAGGACACCCTCTCATAGCACGAATCACATCAAGCAGCCGCGGGAGTTTGGATGAAGAACCTCAGCCTGGGGTAAGATGAGAATGTACTGCCAAACGGACCCAGAAACAAAAGGTTCGCCTTTTGGAGCCGTGGCAAAAAGGCCCCAAATACCAAACAAGAACGAAAGGCCAGATCCGGTCGATTCGCTTGGGGCAAGTGAGTTTTTATCCATGCGGCAGAGTCTCAACCTTTTTCTCCCAGAGCTTTTGTTTCCGCGGTGTGTTGCTTGTCCAAGCCCGCCATGCGATTGTGGAGTCTTATGAGAAGGTCGAAAGGGATGCTTGCATAGGTGTCCTTTTAGGGGAAATAGATGGCCCTGGTAGATGATTCAACCACCAGGTAAACCAGGGCCATCTGTTTTTCTATCAAAACAACCAAGAAGGACACCTATGGATGCGTGTTTGTTGGCTCCCTGGGATTCTCCTGACGTCTTTTCAACTTTGGTGGAGCTCAATCCGCCTGCTTGCTGCGTCGTCGGCACACTCTCCAGGAGCACCCTGAGATAAAAGACCTGGTCACGACAACACCCCACGAGTCGTGGCACGCGTCAAGTAAGTCCCGTGATACCAATCCTGATCCGATTCATTTTGCAAAAAACAACCTTGAAGCCTAGTGACAAGTAACTCATACCGCCTTTGTCTGGCCTTTTTCCTGGACCCTTGAGGGTGAACTTCCATGGCTCCCTATGGTTCTGAATCAGGACTCATATGCGAGCGATCCGATCCCGTGAACGTCAACTCAAAAAATTCCCCTTGGCGCAGAAAGCGGCACCGGACCTTCAGCCAATCCCAGCGATCACGTTCCCCATGGTTCGAGGTGTTGCCCAACCACCCCGGTGAAGTCCTCCGGTCATTGGAATTCCTTGGACGTCAAACGGTACATGCAGGTGGCCTTTCGGAACCCAGGAATGTCTCACTGCCCCCAAGGTCTTTTGAAAACTTGGCCCTGACAGATAAGAGCCAAAGTTCTCTGACCAAAAAGGACACCCTGCCCAATCCCTACCTTCAACTCCGAGACGATTCCCTGGAAAGGGAAATCGAATACACGAAGCCACAGGGATCCTTACATTATACACCTGAACATTGCAACTTGGAAATGGTGGTGTCCATTTCTTTATTTTGGTGTTGAAAAAGCCATGTTTCAAATGGAACTGCAAAATTAATATCTTTTAAGGAGCCCTGATGATGGCTGCTGCTTTTCACGCACATCCTCAGGTATTTTTCCACGAAATGGGGGGGGGGGGGGCCCTCTTCAGGTCTGGGGGTTTCCTGGAGGTGTCCCTGAAAATTCCATTTGCTTCAGCCCACTGCAAAAAATGAGAACATATGTCCAGTAGTGAAATTGATGCCCTTTAAAACCAAGGGCAACCAAAATAAGTAAACAATAATCATAATAATCATAATCATCATAACAACCTTTCAGCCTACATACGGCAGCTGTCCATCCGGAAAAAAAATATTAAAAAAATGGAAAACCGCCCCCCACGTATCGCATCGAAACCACCGCGCGCCTGGGCGTCATAGCCGAAGGCTGCGATGAGGTTGTGCAGCTCTGTGAGACTCGTCTTCTGATTCCTCTGGTGGGGCTCTGTTGCGGGCATTTCGGGCGCCGTCGATTTTGTTGGGGGAGAGTACCTCCGTCACCTTTTTTTTTTTCTGGGCGGGACCCTTTTTAGGAGTTTTACGAGAACCGAAAAAGGCAACCATGTGTTTTGGAGTGGTTTCAAGGTTAAAAAAGGGACATACATGTGTGTATATATATATATATATGGCTCCTGAAAATACTGGACGAATTCCTGCAGTTGGGGTGGCTAGGTATGGCTCCTCGAAATAGCTGCCTCGCTTTGGGGACGAGCAACTGATGACCATGTACCCACGAGCAAACGAGCAACATGGGAGGTGTCCAATCAGCCGCAAGCGCGACCTCTTTTCATCGACTCCCACAGAACTACCCACAAAACATGAGCCACAATAAAAACCCGGCATTAAAATGGTGAACCCAGAACCATGTAAAGAATTAAGAAGGCGGCCGCAGCAATGTACGGCTGGTACCCGGGTTTTGATTGTGGCTCACATGAAGAGTGGGAAGAGTGGGCCTATGTTTTGATCGACTTGACAAAGCTCCCTACAAATTATTGTCAATGGGCCCCAGAAGGTCCTAATAGAGAACGTCTCTCTACAGACCAGACCAAGGGCTGACGCCCAGGATTGCTCCTTGACCAGATCGGGATGGCAAGTTGGTCGAGAAGGAAAGGATCCGATACCAAGCTCTACCCTTTTGATTTGGGCATGTCTTTGTTTGTAGGAATCGGACCCGCTTTGGTTTTCCTTTTCTCCCTTTAAAACCACAAACACAGCCCTCAAAAGAAAGCAGAGTGACACTGAGGCTGCGGCTTTTTGCTCAGAGAGTTGACTAGGTATTTGATCCTCAGCCGCGCGTGCCATGGCAGGCCATGGAGGATGCACAGTCTCCCCAGCCTGGTGGTTTGGCTGTAAGGGGTTTCTTGCCAGTTGGTCACCCTCCACAAGATTCGGAATTTGTCCCAACCAATCCAAACCACCAACTAAGGCTTGCCGGAACAAATGCAGCCTTGTGACTTCCATCCAAAAACACGGTCCTTCCGAGCTCCGAGCTCCGAGGCCCGGGCTGCCAAAAGGACGGCTGCGCAAAGGACACCATCGGCCGCTCTTCGGCCCGGCGAGTAATCGCGTTTCAAGCGGGGCACCTGTCAGCCAGGCTGCGACATCGAACAGGGAGCTACCTCTGAACACTACCCCAGGAAACTCGCTTGGCCCAATAAGCCACACGGGGGAAATATGGGGAACCCTGAATCATGAATGAGCGGCGCTCCAAATTTAGGTCGGAAGCTGTCAAGCTCCACGATTTGTCTGCAATTTCACATCGGCTTCAAGCCTTTGAAAACCAAAGTGGTGAAGCAAAGAAATTGCAACTCGGCCCGGCCAAAGGATGCAAAAGCCAAAGGCTTGCACTCAGGCAACTCACCCTCTTACCCTTCGAAGATGAGAAGTGCACAAACTCGGCAAAAAGACGACCTCGCTTTTGAGAAAAAGGATCCAACTCCAAAAGACATGTGAGAGGGTCGCGTGAGACAAAGATGGCTCAAACTCTGCCCAGCTTTTTTTTTGTCCGCGCGTTGCCGAAAAGGCTCAAGCAGCCAATTCGGAAGGACTGTTTCAGACCGTCTTTGGATCCCCAAAAGGTGGGTGTCCTCCGACTGGAGGATATCCCGGAAGCGGAAAACCCGCAGAACAAACCCAGTTTTGACGGGAACACCTGTGCACTGCAGACATGGCCTCACTGGGGGTCAACTCAAAGATCCAAAACAAGATGGTTCAACACAGGCAGGGGTCGCACGGGTGTGTCTTTTTTGAGGCTACCCCAGTCTTTAACTGGGGCCTTCAAGGGAAACCAGAAGGACAACCGAGGCCATTCTGTGGGCCTAGAGGAAGACACCGCCGCACGCCTCTTCCTGGCCTTTGATTCGTGTCAATTTCACCCTGTGGCCATCTGCCAATTCTCCCACCCTCAAATCAGCGGCTGTGAGACCTCAGGAATCAAAGCAGGTGGCCTTTTGGAAAAATCGATGCTTCTGATAAATGGAAGAAATCCCATCTAAACCAGGGCCCTCTGTTTTGAAGCAAACCAAAAAGGACACCTATGATTGGGACACGCAACATGAACTTGGACGCCAGTGAATTTCCATGAAACTCAAAAGGGCCGTACCCCCTCTTTAAAGTTCTGCCTAACACATAAGCTCTGGTCTCGGGACCCAGCCAGAAGGAGCTCTCCGGAACATGCCGGAACCCTCCCTGAAAGCTGCCCCAAGGAGCCTATTTGGGCAGAGTCCCGCGTTCAGCCCTGCGGAAAATGAAGCGGACAGGCGCCTAGTTGCCTGGTGGCTTCCATGTCGCCGTACATGCGGACTAAAAGGGCTCAGGAAAATACGGAAGCTCAAGAAATGGAATCCCCAAAACGGCACCTTGCAAACAGTGTAACTGTTTTTGAGGGTCCACTGGAAAATCCATCACTTCCCAAGAAGTTAAAGTCCAAAGATCCAACCAAATAGGATCATCAAGCTTGGAAAAGTTGGGTGCCGTTCAGGCAACCGCAAAGGGTACCCCCTCGAGAAAGATGCTCAAATACACGCATACTGTGGATGGATGAAATCCATTTCGCACATACATGCAAATACCAACAAACAATTATTTCAACCATGGATTCAAAGTGGTGCGAAATGGACTTCGCTTTTCCATCCACATGTTGCTTAGCCCTGGAGCTGCAAAGCTTCCAGATCCAAGTCGGGGGCCGACCGCCGGCGCCGACGGAAGCAGCACACCTCGGATGTGCCGCGCGTCTCTCGCAGAAATCCCTTGCGAGCGCTGCCGATTCCCGGAAACGCAACTCCAATCTGAAGATGACAGGTGAGGAAGTGACGACTTTGAAGCGGTTCGCAGGCCGGGTGAGTGCTTCGGGCAACCTTGAAAGCAGGATGCCAGGATGGGGAAGGAGGCAAAAACCCTGAGGCCTGATTGAGAGTTCTTGGAACCAAATGCTCGGTTTCCTTTTGGTGTCCCAAACCAAGATGAACATGGTGCCCTCCAAGAAACGCACAAACACACACACAAACGAGAAAAACAAAAACTCGGACATAGGTGTCCTTTTAGGGCAAATAGATGGCCCTGGTAGATGATTAAACTACCAGGTACACCAGGGCCATCTATTTTTCGACCAAAACAACCATAAAGGACACCTATGCTCTCAGATTCACAGCTTGCATTTCAATAAACTGATTGCGCAAAGCCGAGCCATGAAGTCAAGAATGCCAAGCTGGTCTTGCATGGAAGAAGCCAAGCGGTCCCTGCGCATTCATCTCGAAATCTGGGCTGTCTAAAGACCAGCTGGCCTTCTGTTCCATGTCTTGCCTCCGTTGGCTTAAGTCCCCTGGAAACCGACACATTCTCTTTAAAGCGATGGGGTAAAAGAATCCATGGGTCAAGATGAAACCAGCAGGGGGTCATCCGCAGGTTTTAGTCCTTGTTTCCATTTAGAGCAACCCATGTTGGGGTTACCCTGATCTTGACCCACACCCACACATGTTCATAAGTTTTTCTGGAACACCACCAAAAAAAGGCGGAGGCTTTTTCAGGTACCAGGAAAGCAAATGGCAGCTGGCTTGTTCCCCAGGCTGAGTCTCCCCGGTCTGGAGCTTCCGGACGCCTGCCGGGCGAAAATTCCTGGGCTCCTGGACGCGCCGGCACCAGGGCGGCCAGGAAGACTCCTCCTTCGGCGAATCGAAGGGCGAGATGTCGGTTTCGTGCAGGGGGCTGAAGCGAGATACAGCAGCAGTGAAGGTGATTTGGTATTATCATTAAACATACTAGTATAAACGTGAAAATACATATATATGTGTATACAAACATATTGTTTATTTGTATTATCATTAAGAATACATACATATATATATATATATATGGCTGTTGGTCAAAGTCAAAACCAATGGGATCCCATTCTGGGGTAGGTGCACCACCCATTTTAGTCTATAGTGGGGATTGGGATGTTCACTGGGGGTACGGGATTTTGACCCATGGCCATTTGGGGATTCCTTATTTCATGACTTCAATATTATTTTATAGTGACTAGTGCAGAATTGCGCTGCAGCAAGGTCATCACTTGCAGTTGCACTAAGTGACCGCCGGTTAATTTGGAAGTTGTCGAGACAACCCAAACTGACATGAAGCTTCGTGAGAAACCCACATTTCGCAATCAATGGTGAGTTGGTGAGTCCCCCTTGGTACGACAAATATTGACCACACTTCACATTGTCTTGATTCACTGAGTGAGCGCGGTTTAACTGCAAGTGAGCTCGTTATAATTTGCCCAAAAACACAAATGCCGAACGACAAGAAGGAATACTAGTCCAGCGGCTCAGGTTCTGGTTGGGACCGCCCAACCGAAAACTGTCAGCTTCCAATGTGCCCCAAATGGCTCGTGAAGCCGGCAAAACCCCATCCCCCGATGCTCTGATTCAGAGCCGAAAGGGGAGCCATTGCCATCTCAAAGCCAGTGACCTTCCGCCCAGGGCTCCCCGCATTGGAGACAAAGGATATTTATGAATCAGAGTCCCCCGAATCTATGTCCTTCTCGGGCCGTGAGCAAAAGTGGAAACCAGTGGAAGCCATCTGCCTCCAAAGCCAAACCCAAAATGGACTATGCTTGGGTCTCAAAAAATGAGGCACATCAAATCAGAGGTCTCCTTTTGGCTTCAACTAATCCAAAAGCCTCCGAACCCGAGCCGACCCAAGCCGAAAACTCGTCTCTGCCTCGCTTCGCTCGGCCACCTCTCGCGCCGTGACCGCCTAAAACTCTCCAGGGCGCGTCTCTTTTGGTTGAGTTGGTACAACGCTACACCAGTTGTGTTTGGTTTGTGTGCGTGTTTTTTTGTTGTGTTTTTTCCTGTTTTTTTTTCTCTTAGGGAAGCAGAGAAAATGTTGGTGGGGATCTGTCTTGTGAGTGTTTGTTTTTTCCCTAGGGAAACTGAGAGGAGCAAAGCGCCATGTTGGTAAGGGGTCCACTAAAATGGTATACGATTGTTGTGGGTTTGAAGGGAAACGAACAGAAAAATCGATGCCATTTTAGTGGCTCGTCTCCCCCCAAACAAAAAATGCAAGCCACCGCTCGTCTCCACACTCTGATTTCGAAGGATTCTCAAATCAGTTTCGAGCGGCTTCCCTCACAACGAGGGTATTGAGGATGTGGCTGGTCAAAACTCATGGGATCCCATTTTGGCTGGTAGGTGAATTCACCACCCATCTTAGTCTAGTGGGGATTTGGATGTTCACTGGGGGTACGGGCTTGGGATTTTGACCCGCGGCCATGTCACTTGCATGGACCTGAAGTCCCTGCCAAATGGCAAGGGCTCTGAACAAAATGGGGACGTTTCTTCAACCCACGTAACAAGTCGCACGTTGACAAATGCTGGGGACTTTTGCCCTGGGTGTTGAAATCTTTGCGTCCAAACTCGGTTGTTGCCACGGCCCCTCTGCAAAAAGTGTTTAAATTCAAGTGGGTCCAACGGAAAATCCATGATTTCCCCAAAAGTTAAAGTCCAAAGATCCAACCAAATAGCCATAAAGCAAAGGAGACTGCAGAAAACAACCCAAACGACAACTTACTCATCGACCAGGGGGTTCTTTATCCTGGGTCAACACTATGTTCATTACCAACCATTCGGGTGAGCTGTAATTCACCAGCTGAAAATTAAAAAACTGCCCCCCCCAAAGGAACTGCTCTTGACCCGCGGCACCATCCAAGGTTGCAAGCTGGAGCCCGAACACCCCCAAGTAGCACGCTAATCATTAGCTCATTAGTGCCCCCCTACCCACCGGAACGGTCCTCAAAACCCCAAGCACCCATGTTAAGAGGATTCCAAGCCTGGGCTGCCCTCAGATCCCTAAAAGTGACTAACTTTTAGTGGGTTACATGGAAACCCAACCACTAAACCAACTAAGGAGCCAAAAAGCTACGGAACCGGATGGCTGGGACCAAGAAGAACCCTTCTTGGGTTGTGGGCGCATGAAAATCGCTGGACCCATGCTGGTAGCCCACAAGCCCCCGCGCCGAGCACATGGACAGGCTCACCGGTAGCTGCGAGCCCTGGCGTTTTTGGTTTCGCCGAAACATGCCAAGATCTCCTGAGAGAAGCGGGGAATTCTGAATTTGGGGGGCCCTTTGGTGGCTCACTTAGGGGGAAGGGGAAAAGGACTGTCCAGCAACCCCACCACGACTCCAACTCTTGAAGTTCACTGCCAGAGGCTGAGATCAAAGCGAATATCACGCAAAGTGGCAACCTTCAAAACAAATTGTCCGTAGGTTTCCCTTAAACAACCAGCCAAAAATCGCATCATCTCTTCCGAATCCATTGACTTTCGTCTCTACTGGCTTCCTCAGCTTTCACAAGAGGTCAGGCATGTTGCATCCATGCCACACCGCAACCGGTCCTGGTTGTTCTGGCTGGAAACAGGTTCTGAGAATAACGAGGATGTGAACTAAGGCGCCCAGACGGAAGCAGGACTCCCTTTCTTCATGTCGTCTCAATGACACTTCTTGCTAAGAGCATGCACGTTGCTCGCTTTACTTAGCATACACTCCCTTAAGAGGTCTCCCGAACCCGCCATGCGATCCCTCGCCCATGTGGGAGGAACGGCACGCATCGGAGGCTTGTTTAGCGGCCCTGCGCGTTCTTCACGCCCAACAAGAACCAGGATCTCTAGATAGCCAGAAACCAGGTTCCGTGGCATAAAGCAAAAACAAAAACCGGACCTGTGAAATGGACTACCTGTACCCAAGTGGGACCCAGCTGATATCCCAATAGGTCCAGTTGGGTCCGGGTCCGGCTCTGTTGAGGCCCATCCAACCCAAAATCCGTGTGCGGAAGACCCCGATCGAAGACCAAACCCCATGAACTGCTGGCTCTACTAAGATGGATTTTTCACCCCAGGCCGCGACTTTGCACCCCAGGCCAGAGGCCTGGAAGAGTAGAACAGCCGCCGACTGTGCACACATAAATTCGCAGGCGAGATCGAAAAGCCACCCCCCGAAGAGCGACCCCAACCCCAAGCCATGTCCTTCTCTGGGTGAAACAGAGACGTCTCACGGCGTTTGGTGAGAGACATGTGATGGCCCCGGGGTTTAGCGGCTTACCCAGCCCAGAAACAAACCGACCCGCCTACTAAAAGATGGCCCTTCTTCTTGTTTTTTTTGGGGGGGACGGGTTGGGAGTGCTGCTCCAAATGGCCCTTCCTTTTTTTTTGGAGGAGTTGGGAGCGCTGCTCCCTTGGGCTCCAAATTGCTGGCCTCTAGGGCCTGCTTCGCGATCAGGTCCTCCGCGGACTGAAAGGTCACCTCAGCTGGAAGAAAGAAACGGTCCTCCGATTTTTGGGCGGCCTTCTCATGGAAACTGGTTCTAGGTTTGCGACCCTCTGGTCATGGTTGTGGGAAATTGGTGTGTGCTTGTGTGTGTGTGTGTCTCTGTGCGTCCGTCGTGTCTCTGCGCGTGTGCATGCGTGCGCGTGTGCATGATCTTAAGATTGGGGCTGGACTACCGGAAAAACCAACAAAATGACTCACCCTGGCTAGCACACTATTACCCTGTGAGTGGCGCGCTTGCCTCAAGGCCCCTTTATCCGACCTTGTGTGGATTCACGTTGGTAGGTGGTTTCAGTATTCATAAGGCTTCATCCACCCCCAACTGATGCACGAGTTTGAGCCCGACTTGAGGAGGCAGGGCGCTGAACGTGACCACCGGTCACACAAGTCCCCAAAGTGGGTTAGAACCACAAGCACCACACTCTCAATACGCACCCTGCCTCGTGAAGTACTTAGTAGCTTAGAAGTTCGGGTGTGTCTGCTCGCTTGGTTTTCAGAGAAACTTGTGAACTGGTGGTTCATGGTCTCCTTTCACTCTCAGCCAACAGAAACTTATTGCATAAAAAAGAGAGGAAGAAAAACGAGTTTTTTGCTGACTTGCAACACCTCAACCTTTTGCTCTGTGGGCCTTTGTGGTCCAAAAGGGAAGGGCGGTCGGAAAAGAGGCCGTGGTTGGTTGCTTGACGAAGCACCGACCAAGAGATCGCTGTCCGGTTCCACGGGTCCGTGAAACCGGTGCAAGCCGGCAAGCTGCTGGGGCTGCGCTCTTGCGGGTTGCAAACCGGCGCATGCCTACCAAAAAATTCCATCAGATCCAGATTGAGGGCCTTTGCAGGCATGATGGCTGATGGCCCAAAAAATCTACCAGCGGGTCAGAGAGCCCATCGGCAAAACTTCTGTTCACTGTCTGCCCACTGCAACGGTGGTTCACCCTTCTCTTGAATTCGCCAAAACAACCCATGGAGTTCTGTTCACTTGGTCCCCTGACCCCCCCACTTTTCCTGGGCTACCGGTGGAAAACCAAGAGTTCCAAACATCAAGAACTCAGGAAGAAGGGGTACCGGAGTGGATCTTCTCTGCTCGTCGAGTCGCCAAGTCCGAGTCCTCTCGCTCGCTCTGCGGCTGCGGCGCCTGAAGAAATTTCTCGGAACCAGCCCCGTGTGTTTGTCCTACTGTGTCCTTAAGGGACTCATCATCCGCATGCAGAGATCACGCGTTTAGGCTGATCGTTCATTCTTTTCGCCCCATGGCTCTTTGGAGAAACTGAGATTTTCTGGACATTGCGCCAATGTCTTCTGGAACGAGTCCCGAGAATGGATGCTGCTTTCGGCGATCTGGGCTGGCTTTCGACCTGGGATGGTTTCGTTTTTTTTGGCTTCAAAAGGAAACAAAAGAAGTAACCCCCCAACCATAAATGCAAGCACCAAGAGGCGAGTGCAGCCTCTCCACCAACAACTCTGATGGAGACCCTTGGAAGATCAGGTTGGGCTATGAAAAAGCAACCCAAGTAAAGGAGTGGAATATTATATGAGGATCGTGTTCTCCCTGCCCACAGAAAGTGACCCAGTCAAAGCCAGCGGGCTAAATTGAAGTCAACCCAATTTGCCGTCCGAAGGACGTTAGATGCTTTTCTAGTAAAGTCTTGGAGGTTTCATGTGGCATGGTCAACTGCTACGTGAAAAATCGATTCCTTCCATTGGTTGTCGTTCATGTTGGGTCCAACAGGAGTTTGGGTTCCCCGCGAACAGCTGGCTTCCGTTTAGTTTCTCAAACCAAGGTTTAAAAAGGTGCCTCCACCGGGGTGCCGCATCCCTACAAAACAGAGGGATCACAGGTGGGCGAGAGCTGGTGTTCCTTCCTTCTACCAGCCTTTCCTCGTGAACGAAGCCCAGCCATTTAGGGTCTCGTTGGTCTAGCGAAGCACAGCAATAGGCTATGGTTCATCGAGGGACATGGAGGAACTCACTAAGTTTCCCCACAATTTGGGGGACCCAGACTCATGTCCCAATCTTGGGGAAGATGCGTCATTTTGACCATCTCGCGTGAGCCACGCTCAAGACCCGGGGGTGGTTGAAGGGATAGTCTCAACCATAGTCCATTCTTGACGCCTAATGAATAATTCCCGGATGGAAAGGGAAAAGAGGCCCTTTCTGATTAATGACTCCTGCCGACCCCTCAATCCCCGCAGAAATGCAGCTTGCACCTGCCAAACAAGGGGCGCTCGTAGGGGTCTAGTTTTAGCTTCCACTTTGGGGGGCGCCTTTGACCAACTGGAAGTTGTGTTGTTTGGCCTCGGGGGGTCGCGAGAACTTTGCCCATCTCCCAGTTGACTTCACGGATCGAAACAAACAAGCCAAACCTACACTCGCTTCCTGAGTGGACGGCTCGAAAAAGGTCCAAACTTCCAGTTTCCGACCAAAAGAGTCTTCGCGAAAAGCTGTTCAAGTCCAGGAACTCAGGACGTGAGTACACTTCACCAAATTGACCAAGGGCAACCAGCCACGGTGGAATCTCCATCCAGGCACCTGGGCCCCAGCCTGGCGCTCTACCGGGGGCAAGCCCGCCTGGAGCGGGGAAGGAACTACAGCCATGGCCAGTGTAGAAAGATGATACAGTGGATGCCCGAAAACATCCGGAGAAAAAACAAAAAAAACATGGCAGATGCGAGAAACACATTGCATGTAAACCAACTGCAACACATGGTTGGATGTCCTTTGTTCCCTACTTGCAATATTTAGGGCGTTCGACACCTGCTTTCCCCTGCGGGAGGAACAAAATGTCAAATTGGAGGGGAAGGTCACCGGATGGAAGGTTGCGAAAGGAGCTACGAACGGAACAAAGCTGTCATGTGCTCCCCATCTACTTCGCCATGAGTTTCCGTTTTGTTGGGGTGATGTTCAAAAGAGAGAAGACAGCCTGACTCATCTTCTCCAAGACAGTTTCCACTACCCCCAGGCCACTACGGTTTAATGGGATATAGAGCCACTTTAGCCACTGTAGAAATTGTATAAATTCCGTGTCTTCTGCCAATCCATCCGTGCCAGGATCACTCGTACCCATTCCCATGATCCAAAGGAAACTTCAATCAGTTGGTGGAACGACATGAATCTTAGTTGGGGACCTTTTGCTGGACAATGGTAGGCATTGCTCGGCGCTGCTGGGACTGCCTTTCTTGAGATGCCATGCGGGCTGTTTCATGTTGGCTTCTTTCTGACATGAACCCAGGGGTCTCAGCTTTGATCATCGGATGCATCATAGATGCCAGCTCCTTCCTTTGGCTTCCAACACCCAATCGTGTGGATTGGGTGTAAAACAAGCCTCTTGTCGTTCACCACCAAAATGGTCTTCCGAAAAAGAAAAGAAGAAAGAAACAACGTAGGTCCAGGAACTCAGGAAGTGATCTGGCGGCCCAGTGACTCGCTTGTAACATGCCCTTTGCTTGGATGATTCGCCCAAAGGCGTTAATCAAGGCTTCTTCAAGGACCCAAAGCAACAGTAATCGGGCAGGAGAACCATGAGGCGTAACAAGTGATTTGTTTGTTTGGTCTTGTTTGGTCTTACTCGGTCGGTTAGAGTAAGACCAAAGAAACAAAATAGTAAATGTCTCATTGTGTCCCTCGGGTGAAATGACGATTGTAGGGTATCATCGTCATTTCACAAAGGGTTGTCAGCGCCTTGCCATACCCCCCTCACCCTTGTATGGTGGACACTCACCTTCTCCAAGGATTGGCAAAGCCTGAGCCGCGTCCCCAGGCGTCGTTTTGGAGCAATGGTTAAAACAAGCGGCGTCCGTCTAGTTGCAACCAGAACCCGTAAAGACGGCTCAAAACCAAAACAAGTTCCCAGGGTTCCATTTTGGGTGACTACTTTTGCGCCACGCCATCCGCAAAACGTCCCCGGCCAGCAGCGGCGGCTGCCGCGGGGGCGAAGATGAGGATTCCGAGCGGGGCGCCGATGGGAAGGCTGGCGGCGGATCGGGGCGAGTCCCAGTGCCAAAGCTTTTTGATTGCCTACTGGGAGGAATCGCCAAGTGCTTCGTAGCCCTAGTTGCAGCCCATTTACCATGCTTGGTAAGTCCCCTACCAGGGTTACTAACCATTTTAGCCATGCGTCCCAGACCATCTAAGCAAGACTTCACGAAAAACGGACATATGGGTGTGTGTCAAAGTAGAAAGACCCGCAACAAAAGAGCCTGTTTCATATTGGTTTCCCTTAAACCTAAAAGGGTACCCAAAAGACACATACCCGCACTGTGGGTGTCGCTTTTTGAAAAGGCGACCCCCCCAAAATGGTGCTTCCCTTTGGTTTAACAAACCTTAGAGCATCCTCGCAAAAAGAAGCAAGCCATATTTGAGGCCAAAGCGAAGACTCCTCTACGGGAGTCCTTGCTTGGGCTCCAGGATGAAGTCGTCCAGAGTGTAGCACTTTGCTGCACATCCAGAGATGGTCTTTTCTGGGAAATGGGGGGATGCCTTTCAGCGGCAGATTTGCTCCTCTTTCACCATCTCCAATAATCCAGAAAGGGGAGGTATGGGAAAGTCACGACCTTCATCCTGAAAAAAACACTAGGCACAAACAGTCACGGCTGTGGCTCCCGTTGCGAGTCGGCTCTGAATCGGTGCGCGAACATCCCGTGTCACAGCTGATGAAACCTGCTCAGAATTCAAGTAACCTAAACACCGGATGAGTAACCAGTGAATAGAGTGTGTGTTCCCAATGAAGAATCCCTCTGAAATGGAACACTCCCCGGGCTTGATTCGTCCTGGGTTTGCCACCGGAAGGTCCCCTTTAGAACTGGCCTTTGTCAGGATTCCCTCCCGGCTTCGAATGGCGCCTGGTGACCTGATGCTGAACCAACTAGTTCCATAAGGAAACAGGGCCCAAAGTGCCTGGGAAGCCGCCCAAAACACCAAAGGGGCTCCTCTGTGTTGGAGGGTACCCCATTCTTGTGGCAATCCATTTTTGTAAGGGGAAACCAAAGGAAACCATTCGTTCTGGCGGGGAAGAAACGCAGAGGTCAGCCTTTCAGACACCTGCATGAGATCAGGCGGGACTTGTGTGTCTCAGGATGCCCCGATGGCAATGTTCCCCTTGGTTCTCTTTTCACAGGGAACCTTAAACGACTGATAAATCAGGTCTTTGGAGGTGGCACCTGCAACAAATACGTTTGGGCCACTTGAAACATCACCTTTGCCGTCTGATAAATCAGGTGTTTGGAGCTGATTTTGAGTGGAGGCTCGAAGTTGACGGGCTCCGGAGGGTTACTGAAGCAAACAAGTGTTCAGGAGGTTGGCCATCCGGGAGCTTGGGTACACATGTACAAAACGCAGGTGTTGTGAAGTTGCGGGGCATGCGAAGCTGCCAAACATGCTTTTTCCACGCAGTCCGGCGAAGAATGAGCCTGAGGCTCTGAAGTTTCAGGTTGTTACCCACGAGTCCGTCGACAGCACCGTGCCTTCGGCACTGCAGCGGCCGCCCAGGAAAGTCGGCAGCACCTGGGTCAATGGGATGAATTGAGCGGCGACACGGTGCAGTCACCCCTGGCGTGCCTGTATTTGATGGCACCTTTTTTGGGGCTGCCTTAAAACATATCAGGGAAACTAACCGTTTTTTGGGAAGGTACCCTAAAAACGACACAACCCTGTACATCAAAGGCGGGTGTTTCTGCACCAAAGGTGCCATCATCTACCCGAATCGGTCTTGAGGAAGTGCTCGCGCGAAGAATGTCCATTCCATCCCAGGGAGGGAAGCCCTTAAGGGGCGCTGCGTAGAAGTTTTGTCTTGCTGGTTCGATAAGCAGCGAATGAGAAATGGCCCGAGAAACCATCCCCGATTTGGTTTCCTTTAGAGGTAATCCCCAAAACCGGTTAATTCCCAAACAACTGGAAGGTCATTACTGAGCGCCCACAAGTTTTGGACGAGGTTTGAGGGATGCTGAGAACTTCTCTGAGGCCTATGGGGGAAGTCGCTTTTTGCTGAATCCCGGAAGCTTCGCTTCGCGGCCTCGAGAGGAACTTTGCAGCACTTTGCTGCGCGCAGGAAAGGTCAAGCGGAACAAGCTTCGCCAACAGCCTTTATTGAGCCTGATTAAAAGAAATACAACTTGCCTTTTGGAGCTATCCGGCATGCAAATCAGAACGGGCTGCTCTGAACCTGTTTCTGGCTGGACCTCTCTACTTCATCTATCCAGTTTTCGGTGAACCCTGTCACCCATTGAAGATTTCCTTTTAGAGCAACCCCCAAAAGCGTGTACCCCAACAACAAACTGGAACGAGATCATTCTCCTAAAGCAACCTTCTGGCGGGCTCCGTGGTTGTGGAAAGCCGGGTGCCGACATGGACATCGTAGTTCCCCTGTAACGCTGTCCCTTGAAGCCAACACCATGCGCTAGAAAGCCCCTGTCACTGGTGGAAGTATCGGTATGGGCCTAAAGGAAAACCGCCCGTTCTGGGGGTCCCCTAACACCCGGGCCAAGCGCCGTCTGACCGAATTCTTCTCTCAGCGCCCACACCGAGGCATCCCCGAAGAGTTGCTGCGCAAATGGGCAGAGCCTGGGCTATTTCCGGCCAAAACGAAGCCGGACGTAACGCACCTTGTGATTCCATTTGTAGGGCGAGTAGCCAGGAGATGGCTGTACTCTGACTCTTTTTGTGGCTGCCAATGAGAGCTGGGATGTTCACTGCCATGGGACAACTGCTTAGTCACCTAAACATCCCAGGGGACAGCAAAGGATGGTTCGTTGGGATACTCTCACAGAGAGGCAACCGAAGGCAACCCAGAAAAGGTTCTGAGAACAGCGATGGGGTCCGATCTTGCCTCTGCTGATATGGCCATGGGTCAAAATCCAAAGCCCGTACCCCCAGTGAACATCCGATTCAATCCCCACTAAACTAGGTTCTAAAAAGGGTGGTGAATTCACCTACCAACCAAAATGGGATCCCATTGGTGTTGACAACCACAGCCATATTGGCTACAGGCCACCAGCAAATTGAATTGAGGCTCCGGACCCGTTCTCTTCGCCGGTCTTGGCGTTCACAGAGCCAGGGTGAACCCAAATCTGGCCGGGGAGAACTGCAGACCATGGCACCACAAATGTGATGGCATCCTACAGAAAATCAAACAATACAAATTACAAACACAGGGAGGGAGGGAGGGAGGGAGGGAGGGAGGGAGGGAGGGAGGGAGGGAGGGAGGGAGGGAGGGAGGGAGGGAGGGAGGGAGGGAGGGAGGGAGGGAGGGAGGGAGGGAGGGAGGAGAGGGAGGGAGGGAGGGAGGGAGGGAGGGAGGGAGGGAGGGAGGGAGGGAGGAGGGAGGGAGGAGGAGGGAGGGAGGGAGGGAGGGAGGGAGGGAGGGAGGGAGGGAGGGAGGGAGGGAGGGAGGGAGGGAGGGAGGGAGGGAGGGAGGGAGGGAGGGAGGGAGGGAGGGAGGGAGGGAGAGGGAGGAGGGAGGGAGGAGGGAGGGAGGGAGGAGGGAGGAGGGAGGGAGGGGAGGGAGGGAGGGAGAGGAGGAGGGAAAGAGGGAGAGAGGGGGGAAAGAGGGAGAGAGGGAGAGAGGGAGAGAGGGAGAGAGGGAGAGAGGGAGAGAGGGAGAGAGGGGGGAAAGAGGGAGAGAGGGGGGAAAGAGGGAGAGAGGGGGGAAAGAGGGAGAGAGGGGGGAAAGAGGGAGAGAGGGAGAGAGGGAGAGAGGGAGAGAGGGGGGAAAGAGGGAGAGAGGGAGAGAGGGGGGAAAGAGGGAGAGAGGGAGAGAGGGAGAGAGGGAGAGAGGGAGAGAAGGGGGAAAGAGGGAGAGAGAAGAAGCGGTACCGAGTCGAAAAAACATGTGGTTTCCTTTAAAACCTCCAAAACACTTTAAACAAATAGCGGTGCCAAAATTGGAAAAAAGAAGGACCTGAGCCACTCAAAGGCAAAATAGCGTAGTTACTTCCCAAGCCACCCCACTATCCTTTTTCTGGCGGCTGTTGGAAAAGCGCAGCAGAAAGGGCTTAAAACCAACATCGAGTTCGCCCCGAAGCAGATTCGAGCTCTTTGTGTAGAAGCCAAACTCAGAGACAAGATTCTGAGCAGTGGCGGTCGGAACCAAATCAGAGAATGATCAGAGCGTCAGCCAAAAGGATTGGGCTGCAGCCTGACAAAAGCGTCCAACCCCCGGAACCTGAACAGAGCCAAACCAAAGGGAAAGGAGACAATGGGAAAAAAGGCAAAGGGAGTGGCAAGCTTCAAAGTCCTCCCAAAGGGAAAGACAAGAGCAAAGACAATAGCACCGTGGAACAACCCATGAAAGGGAAGGGCAAAGAGCCGAATGACAGTTCAAAAGGGAAAGGCCAAGGCCACTTGCCGGAAGCAACATTTCAGCTCACTTTTGATGACTGGAGCTTTTCCAAGAGCACTTCTGGTGTCAACCCAGGGGCGTTTGGTACAAGATGCTTCGCTTGCTCAGCAACTTGCCAGCAAAATCAAGAATGACAACGTTAACATTTCCTTGATCATGCCTCAACCACCTGCAATTGAGAAAAAGGCACCAGTTGAAATGAAAATACGGTTGCATAAGACTCAGGGCAGCTACAAGGATGCGGTTTTTCTTACAGGGCATCTTCATGTTCTAGCAGGAATTGCGCCGGAGACTGTCAGGAAAACAACACAAACGAGTACTCGGGCAAGCTTTTTTTGCCGGCCTTGGCCAGAGACTTGCGGCTCATGATGCCGCCAGCCACCCGGTGCGCCTTTTCTTCTGTCGACAGGCAGAGGCCATATCGTCGATGGGTTGAACCAAACTACGCAAAACGGGAAGGGGTCCAAATTGGTTCCTCGTCTTTTTAGGCACTGGACCTCCCCCCACAACAAACAAACATAACAATTGGGGGAGGTTCTTTGGGCGCCCCTTTAAAACCACCAGAGCAAAGTGAAAGCCCTCAAAAAAACGACACCCGTGTTTAAAAAACATCGAACAAATTGGTGTAAACAAAACGATATGACAAATGGAGAAAGAAGTCTAAAGGAGATCAGCAACATGAACCTGATCTTGAGCGAAGGCGTGGTTGGTTGGGTTCAAGACCTTGGCTCGACGGTTGACGTCTTCATTTGAGCACCCCAGCCCAGAATAGAGACAACTACATTTGGTTTGGTTGAGACATTGCGCATCTCAGAGCACCGTTCGAATCAGTTCAGTTCAAAGGGGCCTCAAGAGAAACAGGTCAAAAAGGCGAGTGCGATAGGGATGTGGGTGTAACCCGGCTGAAGGGAAGCCAGGCCGGGTAAATGCCTCGCCACGCGGGATGATGTGAGCTGCTACCAAAAGCATTTCTTTGGGGGAGGGATTCGGTAACTTGCCTACGACCCATTTCTGCAACCCCAGTGTGGCGCGCATTATTTTTTTCGGTTGACTTCAGGTTGAATGGACCGCAGTGATCTCGGTTGCCCAAAGTTGACTAAGACTGGAACAAAATCCGCCGACGGACGGCGTGCTGGACATAAGAAATACCCCTTACCTGTTACCCCTCCGGACATTTGGGGGTGGGTGGCCACGTACCACGCGGTGATTCCAAGGTTCCCTGTTCGTAGAATACATCCTTTCATCTGTACGAGGAATCCAGAGCTGTGCAAAAACGATTGGGTGTTCGATTCCTCCTTGGGTCTCCTCAGCAGCACCAGCGCAACATCGCCAGCATCACTGGCATTGTCTGGATGACATTCTGCAAAAATGGAAATGTGTGTGTTGTGGCATCCAAAATGTTCAGCCACTACGATGTTTAGATGGTAATCCATCAATACTTGTAGATGTTAGGCTATTGAGATTTTAAGCCATCAAGATGACAGCAGGAGCAAATTAAGGTTCCCGATTCGTGTCTTGTGGTGATGTTCAGCCATTACGATGTTTAGATGTTAATAGTAGTTCATAGCTTAAAATCTGAAAAAGCTTAAGGGCTTAAAACCTGAAAACCTTAGTGACTTAACGTGTTACATTCTGAATAGCTTAGAATCTGAACATATTTATGGCGTAAACTATTACCATCTGAATAGCTTAAAATCAAAACACCGTAATGGCCCAACATCTGAAAATCTTAGTGGCTTCACATGGTAAAATCTTAATGGCTGAACATCTTACAGTATCAATGGCTGAAAACCTGAACACCTACATGGATTACACTCTGCAAAATATGAATGGCTTACACTCTTTAAACTATGTGCGGCTTAACATGACAACATCTTAATGGCTTAGAATCTTAAATGGCTTAACATCTTCAAACCTTAATGGCTTCAAGCATTAGAATCTTAGTGGAGTAAAATTCTAACGCCTCAAGGCCTCAATGGATGAAAATCGTTAGATCTTAAGGGCTTAAAGTCATAGAATCTGAATAGCCTAAAATCTTACTGGTGTACAATCTAAAATCGTAGTGGCTGAAAATATTAGAAACATGGTGGCTTAACGCGTGAAAATCGCAATGGCTCAAATTATTCAAGTGGTAATGGCTGAACACCTGATCATCTAAATGGATTAAACCCTGCAAAATCTGAATGACTTGCAATATTGAAATCTTTGTGGCTTAACGTGTTAACAGCGTAATGGCATAAAATAGGGAAAAAAAACAATAATGGCTGAACACCTGATCATCTAAATGGATTAAACCCTGAAAATTATGAATGGCCTACAATGTTTAGATCTGTGTGGCTTAACGTGCTAACTTCTTAATGGCCCAAAACCTGAAAGTAGTAATGGCTTAACATATTCAAATTCCAATCGGCGAATGCCAGATTCTCCCCAATGGGAAAAGACCAACGAGAGTTGGGATAAATTGGACAATTCTAAACAAAAAAATCCAATAGAAGAATTCCCAAGGGAAGGTACGGCACAATTCCAAAGACACAATTCCAAAAGGACTATTCCGATGGGAGAGTTCCAAAGGAAAACTTCAAATGGTAAATTCCAAAGAGAAGATTCCAATGAGACAATTCCATGAGATAATTCCACAAATAATATTCCAAACATAAAATTCCAATGGGAAAACTACAAGGCAGAACTCCGATAGAAGAAATCCAATAGGACAATTCCAATAGGAAAATAACAATAGAAAAATCCCAACAGAGAATTCCAAGAGGAAAATCCCAAGAGGAAATCCCAACAGGAAAATTCCAATAGGAACAATCCAACAGGAAAATTCCAATAGGAAAATTCCAACAGGAAAATTCCAACAGGAAAATTCCCTTAGGCAAGTCCAATAGACAAAGTCCAATAGGAAAACTCCAATAGGAAAATTTCAATAGGAAAATTCCGATTGGAAAATTCCGATAGGAACACTCCAATAGGAAATTTCCAATAGGAAAATAATCCAATAGGAAAATTCCAACAGGACAATTCCCATAGGCAAGTCCAATAGAAGTGTCCAATAGGAAAATTCCAATAGGCAAAATTCCAATAGGACAATTCCAATGGGAACACTCCAATAGGAAAATTCCAAAAGGAACATTCCGATAGGAAAATCTCAAAGGGAGAATTCATAAGGGAAACCAAGAGGGCCTTTCCTTGGGAGAATTCCAAAGAGACATTCCAATGGGAGAAATCCATCAGGATGATTGCAACGGGAGAATTCCAGAGGAAAGCTTCTGGAAAAAAAATCACAAAGGGACACCTCTAAGAAAGCAAACCAATGGGCGGCGTCAAAGTTGGAAACGAAAGGGTCAAAAGCTCAGCTTTGGGAAACTGAGATATATGGCTGTGGGCTTTTCAAAATCCAAAGCCAAATCGTACCCCCAGTGAACATCCGATTCAAGACCCACTTAAAAAAAATAAATGGACGAAATTGGTGGTGACTTCACCTACCAACCAAAATGGGATCTCGTTGGTTTTGACCACCACAGCCATATTGAAGTGGCTTGCAGGCCTATGTGCCCCTGCTCGTTCAAAATGACCGTCCGCTCATGTGTCCGGGCCCAAGCCCGACAGAGGCTCCGTTTTGACAGGGAAGGTCATCTTCCAAACCGCTTGGATGGGGGGTGGATCGTGTTCACTTGCGCATTCACTTGACCCTAAGTCCTGGCTGGTAACTGCCAGGTCAGAATTGTTAAACAATGATCGGCCATTTAGTAAGACCCTGGTAACCCACTTAGGGGATTGACTGGAATGAATCGCATATCCGACTTGCCGACTACCAAGTAGCCGATCGCCTCCCGTATTCAAAGCACCGAAAGAGTCAGCCCTTACGAGACCTTTGCGCAGCAAACCGTGACAAGCTTGCAGGGTCAAAGGCGGTAAGTGTGTCGATACTGAGGACATGCTACCCTCCCACCAACCTGGGAGTACACTGCGCACGAGCCAACCAGGGCCTCTAGCAACCCCCCCCCCCGTCCAGTGCTCATTCCTCTGGTGCTAATAACACATGCACACCGCATGGAGTCTCATCCAACCCGGAAAGTCTGGATTTCTTCCGGATGTAAAGCCATGCAGACCTTTGGGCATGTGAACTTCTTGCTTCCGCCCGGGTTGCCATCTCTCAGTACTGACCCTTCCATTGATTTCGTGCGCCCAGTCTTCGGCCCTCACGCAGCAAGAGAAACTTATGTTAAAGAAAGAGGAGGGGATAGCTCTTGCAAAGATTAAGCCAGACTTGCCGCTCAGCTTCACGCATCAAAAAACTTGGGGCCCGCACCATGGACAACCAGACCGGTGGATTGAAGACGTAGGTCTTGCCAAAAAGCTGCCTACGGCTCCGGTTTTGCACGAGGAATCGACCAAATCCGCATGGCCAAATGGGTATGTCATCCTTCTGGACCCCCTTTCAACCAACCCCAAGAGGGGGTGCCCTAAAACAACACAACTTTAAATGGGTGTGGGGGACCTCAAAGAAGACATGGCGATGTTGGAACACGGGGATGCCTTCAAAAGCTCAAAACAAGATGTAGCTCTGGACCAGAATGCGTTCCGCGAGGGCTCGGCAGTGCCCACTTGCTTTCGAGATGAACGTGGCTGCGCTCAACATTCCACCTTTCGATCAAGCAGAAACATATGTTGTAACAAAACATGGACCGACATGAGTTCCCGGATCCAAAAAAATCTTGTCACCATGGCCAAGAGATTAGAAGCTGAGAATTGGTCCGACGTGAGCAGGATCCAAACATCCTAGTGACACTCTTGAAGGGTCTGTCTTGATTTAGGTCGGACCCTAACCAAAACGGCGTTGCTTGTCCCTTTACTTTGCCTCTAAAATAGCCACACAAAAAAGAGTACCCTTGACAAAAAGACAGACTGAAATGGTAGATTAGAGCGACGCCCTGAAACAAGTGACATCATTGATCTATTCGTAAACACCCCTCGAAAAGCAGTTTTGAGAACACCTCAAGTTTCCCTTGTGTGCTGCCAGGAGAAATGTGAAACACATGGAGACCCGAGAGCCTTGGTAGTATACCGGAATTTATGAACTTAAGCACGCTTCCCTGCCAACATCGCATACACACATGAACACACCTACACAACATGTACACAACATGTACACAACATGTACACAACATGGAAACAAACAAGCAAACAGGCAAGCAAGCAAGCAAGCAAGCAAACAAAGAAACCAAGAAACGAGCAAACAAACAAAATGCATCTGGAACCCTTTGCATCTGTCAGGCCCTGGCGGGCGCAGCCAGTCGTTCACCTTCCTCGATTCGGATGCAAGGCTGGCCCCAAATCAAAGGCCGAATGTATACACCCACGATACACCCACGTATTAACCCTCGGCTTTGTGGATTCCTGGATGGACAAAAACCACTTAGCACCACTTGGTAGGTGGTTTTATCCCAGTACTGAAATGGCATCCATCCCCGCTCTTGCAGGATTCTGTCCATCCACAGCATGAACCCCAAGCTTGTTGGGAAATCAACCGCTGCTGTCTGGCTCAATGATGGACAATCAGCCTGAGAGGTCCAAAAAGGTACTGGGTTCGCAGAAATACAATCGGCCAGCCTTCGACCATGTGATTTCTCAAAACATGCAGTTCAGGCAAATGACATAGGAAACTCAAGGTTTGTGGTTGAAGTGTTTTTTTAGTTCGTACCCCCGTGCCCCGAACCGACAAAAATATGGTGGGAAACTTGGGTGGGCCCCCTTCGTGTCCTCCCCGACCACCCAGCTCCCACAATTTCTCAGTTGCTCACGTGGCAAATCGAATGGTGCAAAAGTGTCTTTCTGCCAGATGCGCAATATCCTCATACATCACCCCAATGATGTCTCAACCACGGTACACTGGCATCTAACTCGGATTTTCCCCTCATCTGAAAATTGGCATGTTTGGGTTCCGGTCCATATTTCGTGAACCTTAAGATTGACCAAAGGCATGAAAGAAAGCCAACACCCAAAGCCCTCTTTTGGGGGGTGTCCAAGTATTTGTCAGTTCAGTCGCCAAACAGGAGATTGGCCTTTGGCTTCCCATAGCAAACTCCTCTGCGATTCTTGGAACCCCGACTCACGCGGAACCCAACGGCTCTGAGGAAAAAAATGCTCCCCGGACCCAGGGCTCCCCTGAGAAAACCGATTTTTGTTTTTTCCCCTCCGGGACCTCCCGGTTCTATGTGGCCGTGGGTGAAAATGAAGCGACCAGACCGTAGATTTTAGTTCATGTTGTTGATTTACCAGCGTGAATTTTGGGGTTACCCCATTTTTGACCCGCCATGTCAGTGGGAGGGTACCCTTTGCACCAGTCGCAAAGGAGCAGAGAACTTCCCCAGGCGACCTCCTGCCTCCTCTGGCCCATGCCCATGGTCCATCCCAGATCGGATCCCTTTGCGCAGCCAAAGGGATCCCTTTGCACAGCCCAAGGATCGAATAAAAGGCGTTTGAACAGCTCCCCATCGACAGAAAACATGCGCATTTCACCTTTCCAAGCCTTGATATGGTAGCAAAAGTCTGCTCCCCACAAAAAAGGAACAGGGGCAGAACCAACAAAACCAAAAACAACAAAAGGCCGAACAACCAAACAAAGGAACAGAAACAGGACCCAAGAGACACCTAGAAACGAAAGATCTAAACCTGCCAGCCGCACTCAAGGATTTCCCTCAAATCCCCAGGCTTTGGCTGAGTAGTGAGCCCTGGAAGTCACCAAGAGCTGTGGACCCC